ACAGCACCAGACAACAACATGACAACAAAGAGTTTTCTAAGATAATGGTCTGACCCCCATGCACTTTCCTCCTTGATAGCACCAACGTATTCTCCATCGTCTTCAAGAAATCCCATTGCAAAACAAGCATGTCAGAATGTTTCATATTGGGTGTCACCAACTTTTCTGATTTCTTTATAAGTTGGAGGTCCTTTGGCTATAGTCAACATCATTCGTAGATAGAAAAGTTCACTTGTTATTGGTGACACCTATATTAAACTTTCGATGGTAAACCCTCTTTTTCGCGGATTCCACAATCTATTTCTTTTGACATAAACAAATTTCGTAACAAATCTCCATTTGCAATCAGCCAGGATGTGAACGTTGATTTGGTGACACTTGCATTTTCTAAAATATTCTCCATTTGGTCATAATCGGTGTAATACACAGCTTTTCCCCAATTAGATGGTAGAACATACATTTGAATAGAAGGTTTTCGTCCATGAATCATATAAGCAAAATTCGCCAACATGCATCACTCGGAGAAACGTACCTGCAATTAAAATATTGTTTGCAATCAAGATATTGTTTGATCTCATCTATGGGTTCGTTGGCTTTAGCCTTGTTTGAATTAGAAGCAATAACACTTGTGGTGATTCTGCCATATCCCTTGTAAATGTATTTGAATAGATACTTAATAAAAGTGTTTTGATTACACCATTCCGTATTGACATGCGCTTCATATTTCAACAACAACCGTGTGTTATATGGAACGACATGCCTATTATTCAACTGGATTTCATTTTTGTGAATAAAATGTGTGTTGGATCTTCGTCAGTATAATGGATAACCATCTACATCAACAAATGTATCTTCAATGAAATATTTGGGATAGTATTTCGAGCATTTCCTGTTTCTCATACACGGCGATGTCGGACGTGAAAGACCGTACGAACCATGGATCATATGTGACTTCACCAATGCATATAATATAGGATGGGACATGTATTTCTGCAAAAACGATGTTATCAATGTCGAACGGTGTTGGATACTTGCTTTGAGGGTGTAAGAAGATCAAAATGTGTGCATGGGGTAAGCCTCTTTTTTGAAACTCAATGGTATACATGACTGCAAAAGCAATCCATGAAAAATGTTAAACATGTTGCATGATATGTATATAATAATAACAAACAATCCGGTAAAAATATAACTTACATGCCAAAACTCGTCCAAGAATGTGTCGCTTGGTTAATTCAACCATTACTTCATTGAATTTGACCTTGAAAACCTTAGAGATTATGTCTGGGTGATCATGTGGCTTTAAATTCTTCTTGAACAATAAACATGTTATCATAGGACAATTAGGGTTGCACGTAAACATTATAAACAAATCAGGAAAGCCCAATTTGCTGGAAATGGCCGTACTATCGAAATAAAGTTGATTCTTGTATCTTTTGCTTCCGACAAAAGAAGAGGGCAAAACTATGCTTTTATCATGTTTGCCACTTACGTTATGTTGTCCGTTTTCACAATGTGCCTATAAATTCTTATATTTGCCGACCCTTAACTTGGATTGATTTTTTTCTCAACCAATTAAGACGTTAAGATTCCATCGTTGCATAACCATCAACTAAAAATTATTGGAATAGCTTTTTCGAATACAACAATGTTTGTGTTCTTGCAAACGGAAACATAACCAGTCTTTGATGGTTTGCCTGTTTTTCCTTGTAACTGTAGTGTCATCTTTACACTTGTGAAGTATATTTTTTCTGTAGCCATCTTCACCATAGCAAAAAATTAAAGTGTATTGATAAGCCAGGTAATTTGGATGAAATTCATTGATTCTTTGCAATCTACCGTTACGGTACTAGACAATAATGTATCTTTGTTCAGCCGTGTCAATATCCTCCACAATAAGGGCTGCAACTTCTGAGACAGTTGGCATATTATACACACGGTCGTCATGAGGTCTATCGGATATGAGTTTTAACTTCAACTCCAAGAATGAATTGGCCTTAAACATATCGAAGGTCATTCGAAAAGCTTTGACAAGAACATTATACGGTCGTCATGAGGTCTATCGGATATGAGTTTTAACTTCAACTCCAACATCAACTTTAACTTTGTAACAACACTTCTTTCTATACCTTTATTATCCTTGTGAAATGGACAAGAATTAGTAGTGAAATTAACATGTTATGTAAGGGTTTTTTCCAGATGGAATGAACATGAAGAAATACCTAAAGCAACCCATCCTGTTTCCAATCTCGTTTTCGGTGTCGTAAATATATAGTTGGTCATATTGCGGAGGTTGGCCTTCTTCTGGTATGATACTTCCTATCCGATGACAAATCTGACCATGTAGTCGCAATGTCGATGAACCTCCTCCATTCACATGTTTTGAATCAAATTTCATTATCAGGGATGTGAATGAAAACATTGCATTATACGTACGAATGTTGGCTTGGTAATTTTTTCTTTCGGAATCAGTATTGTGATGAAGTAGTTTTTCCAATACACTGGGTGGCTTTTTCATAATTTTACCGCCCCTACGACACAGTTCAAACTTTGGAGTGGTGAAGATGTCATTTGTTACCTGGATATTATGACATTGAGACGTTATAGTGTGGAATATATTAGATGTAGCATTTGTTAAGGGTGATCGAAAACCTATAAAATGTGGTATAGCGGGAGATATTGCAATAGGCATAGATGACATGGTTGATTTTCTTTGTTGGAAGGAATATTGGTAGGCTGTCGCTGGTTCAACATGATTTTCCTTCTTTTCCTAGCCAGAAATGCAGGGGTTTCCGTTGAATGAACATGGTTGTTCTCCATGCTGTAAAAAATATCAAATGGAGGAGTGTGTATTAAAAAGGGTAATGCAGATGGTGTGAAATTGTAATGGAACAATGGCAATAGAGATATATGGAAGGTACAATAACAATAACCATAAGTGTAAAGCAAAGTGGAATTTGAAAAATAGAGGGAAATGTGAAACTGAAGCCCAGAATTTGAAAATTTGAGGGAATTAATGTGTTTTTTTTATCTTAGAATAACATAAATTTAAAATGGACTTTGAAAATATGAGGGAGTTTGATATGTGGCAATCGTGGACACCATACAATCAGTAAAAGAGTGTTAAGTGTAATGATGATGTTGTACTATTTTATTGATAAGTATGTATGCAAGATAAAGTGAAAAGAAGTTTGGAAAAAGTTTGCATTGATGGAAGAGATATAGCAGTGCATTGGTATCACATTTAGGAAAAAGCAAAAGCCAAATCAAGTGGGTACATTGTAAATATATTGATCTATGATGTTGTTGTACGTAGGTAGAAAGGGATGAGGCACTTTTAGTGTATGCTTTCAAAAGCTGAATATTTAATGGTACGAAATTTTGGTTTAATACAGGCTATGTACATGTTTAATAATATCCCTCTATGTTACAGTTAATGAGTTTTTCAACCAATATGAAAATTGTATGGACATTGAAACAATTTTTGGAAGATAAGGACTTTATACAGAGAATGACGTTATGAAATATGGAGAATCAATACAATACAGCTGTGTCTATGTATTATCACCCTGAATTCCAAAGTTAAAATGAAGCATGTTGTTAACATTTAAGTTGAGATAACTTGTATAAAATATTGGTAAAGGGTTTGTGTATAACCACTGTTATATTATATCTAACATTTTTGTAGTAATTTAAGTTGGGCAAAATATTATATGTATGACATAATAGAGAAAAGAACAAAGGATATTTCACCAACCATTTTTTGCAAAATACATCAATGACATAAGTGTGAATTCCAAATAATTGCCATTGTTTCGCCTACTAATATGTTTCCATAGTGTTCATAGTGTACACACTTGAATGAAAATAACTTAAGCATTACTACAACAAAATGGTTCAAACATGGCCATAAAAGAACAGTGAAACCAAATATTGTGTCTCAAAAATCTTGATTGTTTTTGTAGAATCTGCTACTTTTTCTCCACCTTCCCGACCTTCTTTGAGACTTTCATGACTTTCTTAAGCTTAGTTGAAGACAACTCTCCATCGCACAAGCTGGGAAGTGTTGTTGATTCACTCGAGCCATTCGGGTTCAGTCTTTTGCCTGTAGGTGTCAGTTGTTCAGGGTTGTGTTTTGAAGTAATTTCAAGGTCTTGAAGAACAACATAGTGAGAAAACTGATATGTATGCAACAATTACATAAGAAATCTGAATATTAGACAATACGCATAAAACCATAATTGTAAGAGCATCGCATTCATCAATAGTAGTCACCTCATGGACACTCTCTTTAATCTACAAAAGTAAAAAACAGAATAAATTTGGAATGTATAATGGCCCATTAAACATAACCAAGACCTATGGAGACGAATGACATAGGTGTGCAAACCAAACCTGTAATGCAGGAGTGTTAATTGGCTGGGAATTCAGTGGCACTTCAGCCGCCCAGGGAGCTTTAATTGGCTAATAACCGCTTTGTCTCGAAGTATCATGACAACAGAACAATTCTTCCAATCAGGTTGCCACTTTACTTTGAAAGCGATCTCTAAATCCACCATTTTGTCAAGTGCAAGTGGTAAATCAAGAGGATCATCTATCCCACTCTATAAAAGGATGTATAATAGCAAATTAAAATGGTTGGTAGGAATTGTTGAAATTGTGAAAAAACAGTACAATGGTTCTTGCTAGTACCTCAATCCTTGTGTTGCGCAGGTGTGCGGCAGACACACCCAAAAGCTCTTTACTTTCCTTGTCCCAAAATACAAAATTGCACTTAGTGCCACCATGAACAACAACCACCTCAATTTTATACCTTTAATATGGATGTTTTAATGTAAAAAGCAAGAAAAACATTGGTAAAATAGTGTTGTACAAAAGCATTTTGAAAAACATAGCAGTCCTGACCTGAATATTGTTGTCTTTGTTGTATGGCCTTTAGGACAAATATAAGGAGGGTTATCTCCCTTCACTGAGCATGGGCATTCATGACATGCCTGGTAGTATCAACCGTATCTTAATGCAATGATTATCTTAGTGGTAGCCATAGTTGCACAAAAGGTAATCTGTTGAAAATTAAATTAATGAACAAAGAATATTTTGCCAGCTTCAAATCAAACCAATCGTTGCTGACAACATAGATTTAAGACTGAGAGTACCTGAGATAGTTTAACAATTTCCTCAAGAGGAAGTACCACAGCCTTTGACATCAATTTTTGGTAAGGAGAATGATGAAAACTAGAAGAGTTTTGGGACCAGACTTGAGATTGTGAACTTCGATGGTTAGACATGGCCAACAGGGTATCTTTTGATATCCTATACATCAAACATAGTCATTTAAATGGCTCAGCATGTATGATAGAATCTAAAAACGACATTAAATAATTATAGACACCTTTTGGCAAATTGTTTAATTGGTTCCAGATCTTCATTTATGGCCACCTTGGTCACATTGTAAGTGTTGGTGACAGATAGAGGATATCTGCCTACATAAAAAAATATATATGAATCATGCAACACAGTTTTTGTGAACCAACTGGAATGCAACACATGTATGAAAGAACTATGACAATCAGGGAAAAATACCACATTGTTCTTTAACTTTCGCGTATTGAATTAGAACAACAACTGGAATGGAAGAATCAGTACGTTGTTGGATGTAGTTGATAAATTGCATAGCATACGCCTCCCAAAGGGTATAATTTACAGTTTTGTTGCTAGAACACAAGCAAAAGTAGTGTAAATATTAGTGCAAATTCACATGGATAACTATAGCATAAGCTCATGGTGACGATTAAAAAACGTTTACATACCTCAAGTCTCGAATGACAAAGTTCACCTGCTGCTTCTTACCACCAACTTGACCCTGTGTGTACCCTATTCATCAACCACTCAAATAACATCTGAAATAATTACGGTAGACATTAAATCGATGCAATGTAAATACATACGGAGATGAATACATAATAACAGGCATTACGTTACCTATAAGTAATTGTTTATTCCAGTTGATGGTTATTATATCAAGGAAAGAGGTTAATTTAAAATCCTTGTCTGGGATTTGGTGACCGTTTCTATCACCAACTTTGGCACCTCCAATGAATTTAATGAGGTATTTGTGAAGGGAAGGTTCGAAAAGAAGATCATTTAGTTGAACTTGGAAGTTTGCAATAGTGCAAGTGTCGTTCACAACAAGAAGGGAATCATAAGCCTGCATATACATTGGAGGGACGATAACATGGATATCACTACCATGCAAGTGTAAATACAACAAAAACCGTCTTTACCAAATGAATGTAGTTTAAAGCATTTACAGACAACCAAACACGAAAATACAAAAACTTTGTCTACATTAAATCGAATCATAAACCTGCCTATACGGTTGAATCGAAGCATGTTGTACAACATAAAAAAACATATTATGCTACTGTTAAAACATATTAAAAAAAAATCAAACAACTAACAAGCCAGAGTATTTAGCTTCAATCGAATCATGTCAAACAACAAACATGAAATATATATCACAAACACTTTGTTAAAACTATGAATCAGACTTCAGATTAAAACTTCTGTTTATTGCTCTTATAAAATAAAATACACTTTTGGTCTTTTATAGACCCAAATAGCTTTTACAATTCTAAAACATAAACTAAAACATAACTGCTACTAATAACTTAATAACTTACTAAACTTTTGTCCTTCCTACTACCATATTTAATGTAAAACTTATTACTAACACATTTAATGTTTATTCAATAAAACTCCTCTGTAAACTTAAATGTTTCTTCCATCCAGCATTCCTATCATCTTCTTGCCTTTGTCGAAGACCTCTTTTGATAGTGGTTTTGTAAAAATATCCGCTGCTTGGTTTCTGCTTGCTACATGTCTTAATTCGACACTTCCCTCCTTCACATGTTCACGAATGAAGTGAAATCGAACATCAATATGTTTGCTTCGTTCATGATTCACTGGATTCTTTGCCAATTCGATAGCTGATTTATTGTCCACTTGTATTATTGTTGGATCTTCCTGTTTCAGCTTCATCTTGCTTATCAACCTTCTGAGTCATACTGCATGACAGACGTACCAGGATGATGCCACATATTCAGCTTCACACGTCGAAAGTGTTACTATAGGTTGCTTCTTCGACAGCCAAGTAAATGTTGTGTTTCCCATGAAAAACACATATCCAGAGGTGCTCTTTCGCTCGTCTATATCTCCACACCAGTCACTGTCAAAATAACCAACTAACTTGTAGTCTTCTGTTTTTGAATAAAACATCCCTAGTGATATTGTTCCTTGGATGTATCTTAGAATTCGTTTCAGCGCCTTCCAATGTGTGTGTACTGGCTCCTCCATGAATCGACTCACTATGCCAACACTTACTGAAATGTCTGGCCTTGTGCATGTGAGATATCGAAGGCTACCTACCAAGCTTCGATATTTGCTTCCTTCGACCCGTTCTCCTCCATCAAACTTTGATAGTTTTGTACCTGGTTTCATTGGCGTCGAAGTTGGATTGCAATTCTTCATTTTATATTTTTCTAAGATTTCCTTTGCATATTTTTCTTGTGAGATGAAAATTCCAGCTTCTTCTTGTCGAACCTCCAGACCAAGAAAGAATCTCATCAGACCTAAGTCTGTCATTTCGAATTCGTTTGTCATGGTGCTCTTGAAATCTTCGATCATCTGAACATCACTGCCTAGAAAGATAAGGTCATCAACATAGAGAGCAACAAGTAATAAATCACTTCCATTTTTCTTCACATAGAGGGCGGGTTCATAAGGACATTGCTCGAACCCATTCTCTTTGAAATATGTGTCAATACGTGTGTTCCATGCTCTAGGTGCTTGCTTCAGCCCATACAGTGATTTCTTCAGTTTCAACACCTTCTTCTCTTCTCCAGTTCTCATATATCCAAGTGGTTGTTCGACATAGATTTCTTCTTCGAGCACACCATTCAAAAATGTTGTCTTGACATCCATTTGAAATATTGGCCATTTGAACTGAGCAGCTTGAGAAATGAGTAATCGAATTGTCTCCATTCTTGCAACTGGCGCAAACACTTCGTCATAGTCAATTCCTGCTTTCTGTTTGTATCCCTTCGCAACCAGCCGTGCTTTGAATCTTTCGATTTCTCCTTGAGCATTCATCTTTTTCTTGAATACCCACTTTACACCAATGGGTTGACTTCCTTTTAGTAATTCGACTAGCTCCCAAGTATTGTTGCGTTCGATTGCTCTAATCTCTTCGTCCATGGCACTTTTCCACTTCTTGTCTCGTAATGCTTCTTCGACGCTGATGTTTTCAGTATCTGCCAGAAGACACACAAGATGCACCTCACTTGTTGAATCATACAAATCTTGCAAACTTCTCATTTTGGGTTGTAGAGGTTCATCTCCATCTTCTATTTCTTCATGTTTTGTTGGAATACTTGTTGGTACAACTACATTTGTTTCTTCGACTGTGTCAACAACCTCTGTCGAAATGTTCCAGTCTCACTTGCTTGCTTCGTTCATTCGAACGTCTCTGCTCACGATCACTTTCTTGCTTATGGGATTGAAGAGCTTGTACCCTTTCGTCTTCTCATCATATCCAATGAATATGTACTTCTGACTTTTGCCTTCAAGCTTTGTTCTTCGTTGATCTGGTACATGTGCATAAGCTATACTACCAAATACCTTGAGATGAGAAATTGTTGGCTTCTGTCCACTCCATGCTTCTTGTGGTGTTTTGTCTTCTAACTTCGAATGTGGACATCTATTCTGAATATAAACAGCACATTGTACTGCTTCTGCCCAGAATTCTTTCGACATGTTCTTGCTTTTGAGCATTGATCGAACCATGTCAAAAATAGTTCGATTCTTCCTTTCAGCCACACCATTTTGCTGAGGTGAATATGGTGCAGTTAGGAATCTCCTTATGCCCTGTTCTTCACAGTACTTCACAAAGGCCATTGAAGTATACTCACCTCCTCTGTCAGATCGAATTGCTTTGATGTGTCTGTCTGTTGCCTTTTCCACCATTACTTTGAACTTTTTGAACACTTCTAATGCTTCAGATTTTTCTTTCAAGTAAACCCAAGTTTTTCTTGAGAAGTCATCAATGAAAGAAATGAAGTACCTTTTTCCACTGAAGGATTCTGGAGTGATTGGCCCACATATGTCAGTATGTATCAATTCGAGAATATGTTTAGCTTGATACTCTGCCTTTCTTTGAAATGAGGTTCTTGTTTGTTTGCTGAGCACACATTCTTCACAGAAATTTCCTTCGAAATCCATGTCTGGTAGTCCATGCACCATGTTCCTTTTCGCCAACCTTCTCAAACCAGCATGATGTAGATGACCAAAGCGCATATGCCATAGTGACGCTTTGTCTTGCACTTCGATTTGCAGACATTTCTCTCAAATGTTCCTCAGGTTCAGTTTGTACATTCGATTTCTTTCCATTTCGACAGCGGCAATCAGATATCCTGCTTTGTCCTTCAAATGCAGTGTTCGATCTTTCATCAGTATCGAAACACCTTTTTCTGTAAGTTGTCTCAGACTTAATATGTTGGTCTTGAGATCTGGTACATAGTAAACGTCTTCGATTGATCCAATCAAGCCATCCTTCTGCAAGTAACTGATTGTGCCCTTTCCTTCGACCTTCACTTTCGATGCATCTCCAAAAGACACATTACCATCTTCAATTCTCTTCATATCTTTAAACAGGTGTTTGTAACCACACATGTGATTACTTGCTCCTGAGTCAAGATACCAAACACTCTCATTGGTGTTGATTTCGTTTTGAGCCATCAGGAGAAAGCCTTCATTCGATTCAGCTTCCAAGGCTAGGTTGGTTGTTTCTTCAATCTTCTTTTCGATTCGACAGTCTTTTGCAAGATGTCCCACTTTGTCACAGTTGTAACATTTGTAGGAGTTACAATCCTTCGCATAATGACCATACTTCCCACACTTGTAGCATTCGAAGTTGGAATAATTCGAACGACCACCTCTTTGACCACGTCCTCTGCCACGCCAATTTTGTTGGCTCGATTGTCCTCTTTCGAAGTTGCTACCTCTACCACTTCGACCACTGTCACGACCTCCACGTCCACGTCCTCTTCCTCGAAAGTTGTGAGAAAAGAGTACCTTTTCGTCTTTGTTCGATTCCTTGGTTTGGTTTGCTTCTTCGTCTGCTTCTTCTTTCTTTTTCATCTTTCGTTGTTCATGTGTTTCGAGAGAACCAGCGAACTCTTCGATTGAGAGCGTCGAAAGGTCCTTCGACTCTTCTATTGCACATACAATATTTTCAAACTTGTCTGTTAAAGATCTCAAGATCTTTTCAACAACTCGTGCATCAGGTACTGTCTCTCCATTTCTGGTGAGTTGATTAACCACCTTTTGCACACGTGTGATGTAGTCAGATACAATTTTTGTATCCTTCATCTGTATCCTCTCCAATTCGCCACGAAGAGTTTGGAGTCGAACTTGCTTCACTCGATCTGCTCCTTTGAACACTTTTTCTAACGTGTCCCACGCTTGTTTCGACGTAGTCGAACCAGCAATTTTTTCGAAGCCTGATTCATCTACAGCCCTGAACAACATGTATAATACCGTTTTGTCCTTCGATCGCGTCTCTTTCAACGCCTTCGTTTGAGCTGCTGTATATCCCCCAACTTCTGTTAGTTCTTCAAACCCATCATTGGTCACTTCCCACGCGTCTAGAGATCCAAGAAGAGCTTTCATTTGGATACTCCAGTTTTCATAATTAGACTTCGTTAGCCGTGGCAACGGCATTTGATTCATCATGTTTGCCATGAGCTCTGATGCCAAATTGTTAAAACTATGAATCAGACTTCAGATTAAAACTTATGTTTATTGCTCTTATAAAATAAAATACACTCTTGGTCTTTTATAGACCCAGATAACTTTTACAATTCTAAAACATAAACTAAAACATAACTGTTACTGATAACTTAATAACTTATTAAACTTTTGTCCTTCCTACTACCATATTTAATGTAAAACTTATTACTAACACATTTAATGTTTATTCAACACACTTCACCTGAAACGAACGACATCACACAATATACAAAACATGATGTTCATCATAACCAATAGATCTCACAAATAAAACAACAGCATTGACACAAATGATTACATAAATGGGTATATGTAACTCACCTCACTGTCATACACCACCATCTCGAAATGCTCCTTACCATTTGAGCTTACACTCCATTTGTGATGCACCTTAACAACAACTTTTCAAAATTCTTTATCATCATTAATGTCTGCCACTCGCTCTAGAGGTCGAGCCATGAAAAACGTTTGAAACAAAAAACACAACGAATAAAGGAAGACGAGAGAGGAATGAAACGAGTAGAAGTAAGAAACAGTATGAACCAGACGGAGAGAAGTATGAACCAAACGGAGAGAAGAAAGGAATATATGGTAGGGTTAAGAGATAATATCTGCTTTATGAGTAGCAGAATATTGATAGAAAGCTGCTTTTCAAAAAGTTGTTTATTGCAAAGATGCATTTTCTACAGAATTGGATTTAAAAAGGACTTTTGTCTGCAAATGGAACCACATTAAATGCAAGGAAATAATATATTTTTCGTCCAGATAGGACAATAGATAACTTTTTGTAACAAATAGTTACTTTTTTACACTCATCAATGACTTTAAACGCAAAATATTCAGTTGTAATTAGACAATGTCATAAATTAGTCACAAAAAATAATATTTGGACACTAATTAACCTTGTTTTTAATAGGTGGAAATTTTTAAACAAAGGGCAAAATTGAATTAACCTAGACATTTGTTTTCTTATAATATTCCAATGTCCGTGTCGTTGTGTCGTTGTTAGTCACTTGTGTGATACTGTACGATAAGTGTTGGGAAAATAAGATAAATATTTAAAAAAATGATTTATTTCTTTATTTCGATATTCTTTGTATCAATGTCTGATATTTGTATAACACTCACACAACACATGTCAACCAATTCAAACAAGTGTTTGAAAAACAATTGTTTTTTACTTTTCTTCAACAATTTTTATACATTTTTGGACAAACCTCAAACACACTTAAAATGGTTAAACACTATATCCAGGAGACAAAAATCCTAATGTCCCATTTTTCTTCTGGCTTCTTGCATGTTTTTTCTATTTGATCCTCAGCCAGACATGAAATACAGACAGCTTCATTCTACATAATTTTGCAAGTGTATCTTTCTTATCATCAGGTCAAGTGGCTGCATAATTACACTTCCAATTATGATATATCACATATGTGTATTTTACCATTCTGCTTGGACTTCAACTATTACCAACACATTTCTTTTGTTACCACATTTACCATCATCACAGCAAGTTTTCTACCTCTTCAACTTACCTGTATAAAATTGAATTGAAATTTGCCTTAAACTCGAGAGAAGTCCACATCAGCATGTAAACACGCATCACAGAGGTTTTGGTAATACAGTGTGTGCATTCATCTACAGCTTGATAAAGCTATTACCTCTAAGCTTGTTGGCCACAGCTGCAATCCAGGCTCTATCTTTAATGCTAAATGCATAACTCGTGGTTGAGACCAGCAGAATAAATCCTGCCGGTGTTTGCGAATCGGTAGCACTCTCCACAGAAATTTGTAATATTGGCTGCACCAGAAGAGAGCGAGCCCCTTTAGGTACAAGATCCTGAAATTCAGAATCTAAAACGTCCATCAAAATTCAAATTATTTGAACTAAGGTATAAGACAAAGTTCGAAGTGAAGCGCTAGTGTGCTAATAAGGAGTGGATTTGTTTAATACTTAAAAAATGCAGCATAACTTTGAAGAGAAAAGAAACAAAACTTCATACAATTTGATACCTGCATCTTGTGGAAAATATAGGGTCTCCTTCAAATCATTAAGGCCAGCATTTTCAATTTTGTTCCTAAACTGTCCAAGAAGAATTTCTTTGGATGAATCATCGACCACGTTCCAGTAGCCCCTTACACATATTTCTCCTTGAATCAAAACGAGCTGAACATATTGGAATAGTTGGAGAATAAGGTAAATGAATAAAATCATAAGAGCAGAATTAGTTGATTGAGAGAATAAATGGTTTGTTAAAATCAACAAGAATGATAATCTATGTGAGGGACGTACCGCAGCTATGGCATTTGTATTGCGCAGCAAAATATATGATGTCCAAGCTAAGTCCTCCTTCAGAGCATCCGCTATATGGGTTGACATGACAAATATCTGTTGTGTTCCATCTGGTAGAGTTGTTTGATCCACTGGTTGAGCACCCTAACAATTTTCGAGACATAAGACATATGTGAAAGACTTCAAATTCTACTTGACAACATCCAAACATGTATCAACCAGTTCTTATGGTAAAAGAAATCATATACATGGATAAAGTTACCTTGAGAAATTTACCAAGGTAAGGTAGCAGAATTGAGAAGGAGGCCAAAGACAGACCCAAAACCTCAGTTGTCTACATATTAAAGAAAACACACCAATTCAAAATCAGACCCATTAAATAAATGTAACCGAATAATGAACAATTTATATTTACAAGTTGAGGTGGTGTAATAGTGGCAGAATCAGAAGCAAGGAAGTGGTTTAAGATCAGAAGAGAACCAAAAGCATAACCAATCCATCTAGGTAGGTAAGATTCATCAAACCCAGGTATTCCTAATGTGAAGCGAAGAACGGAGAGATTGAGCTGTTGTTGTTGCTGGGTGGTTGTTGTGTTGCTTGAATTGGGTGGCTGAAGATTTGCACCAAGTATTCTTGTTGATTTTGTTGACGAGGGTTTGGGAAAGACAAGTTTGGTGCGAGGAATCCAGGGTTTCAATGATAATATGCTTATGCTATTCATCTTTTCTTTTCTGCCTAACATTTCTCAACTTATTATCTTTATATAAAATCTAATTTGCAAAATTAATCTAATTCATAATAATTTTGTATTTCATTAATTATTTTAAAATTAAAAAATTATTAAACACAATTAGAGGCTTTGTAACAAAGATCAAATTTGTAAGGCTTTATACACAAAGCTTAAAGCATACAATACCTCTTAAAATAATCTACTTGACTTTGTTATTAAGTCTATTTTCAAGTTCAAAAGGAACATTAAAATGTCTATTATTATTAATGATTAATGAGGTGTATTAGCATTTAGCTCTAATTTTATTATCTCAATTTTTTAGTGTCTTTTTAAAAGTATATTGTAATATGAAAGTTGTTCTGAGTAATGAAAATTATGAAGTTTGTTTTATTTTTCTTTTTTTACAATTTTGATCTATTTTGTTAGTCAAACAATAATCTATCATTGCCGCTTTTTTCTCTTCATTTCATATCTCACAAGTCTGCAAATTTATCTTTTAAAGACTTGGATGATGTCATTCAAACATCTGATTTACATATTGATAATGCCATTAACCACACTCATCATCAAATTGATGAGAGATATTAAGTTGATAGTCAAAATTTAGAACTGTAATTGGGAATATTCACACCATAATGGATAATCAGCAGTAATTCTTAGACTCTAGACATGAATATGTTATGACTATTCTCACAAAATTACTTAAAGTGGAGTGCAACAATCAATCACTACTCACTCAACTACTTCTTCTACATGTATATCTCCCATCTGTCCGTACCTCATAGTTATGGACACATTATTATTTCACACACTATCTTTATTATTCTGGACTGGGCCCGCCCTGGCCCAAAAGCAGGGACAAAGGCCCAATCCAAGCAGTTCCTCGAGGAATGCGCGCCCGCGGATTCCCGTCAGCGTGCCCGACCACAGATTGCAGTCATGCCCGCTGTTGCCTGCGATACATGGTGTCCCCGACCAAGGGAACTCCATCTCGAGCCCTGCTCGAGCACTCTCCTCGTAGGGCAGATTCTGTCATCTCTGACCGTTATCGAATCATCTAAACTCTGGAAAGACCGCGTCTTCGTCCCTCCTTATTTCTCGCAGCATCACCAGGAAGGGGACCACGTGCGGGTCCCCACTACACACGTAGAATCTGGCAGTTCCTTTATTAGGCCAGTTCTGGTCGGCCCAATGAGGGGACCTTGGCCCAGCGCTGAGGGCTATAAATACCCTTTGTTCCTAGAGGGTTAGGTATTCATCTCTTACGCATACATATACTTTTGGCCTGCTCATTCTGTCACTCATTTTAGCATCGGAGTGTCTTGCAGGTACCCCCCCATCTCACTCAAATTCTGCCCGAGCCAGTCGTGACTGTCTAAGTCTGATCAGGTAAGATCAGTGGCGCTGTCTGTGGGAATCTAGCTTCCCCGTCTTGCAAACCCTCGAAGACCAAAGCTCAAAATCACCTCATACCGTCATGGCTGACCAAGTCCGGGACGACCAGAACATCCGCGTCGTCGACGTCAATAACAACCTCGCGGATAAAAACGGAATTCCCGACAACGCCGGTAACCCCGGCCATAGCACACTCCCTGGGGGCACCATCCTTGGGCCCTCAGTCCACCGCGACGGAGCTACTGCCTCGTCTTCTTCGGTCCCCCCACCGCTCGAAGAAGACAATACAGCTCCCCCAAACTATCGAGTTGCCCAATTTCAGGAAGTCCCTGTCCCCACCGGGGCAGATGCCACAACCCGCGCACTATTCGCGGCGATCAATCAAACCAACTACCTCATCTTTGCCCAGGGGGAAAGATTGAGGGCGCTAGAACACGATAGAAGACCCGCGAGGAGACACAGGAGGCCTCAGACTCCACCTCCTCCAGTAACAGAGGTACATCTCCCATCTCCCCCGCGGAGACAATACAGAGATGCCTCCTGAAGCCCGTCGCCCCGACCGTCGAGGAGACGACCCCCCTTGGAGAGGCAACCCGTCATCGAAGCCGGAGGGCGCAACCAAGGCCCCATACGGCAAGAAAGAAGACACTCTGGAGAGAGGCACGGAAGAATTGACCAACGAGCACCACGCTCGAGGGATACCCAGCACGACCAGGACCGTCGGGCACGACAATATCTCAGCTCCTCATCCCTGTCCCCGGAGCGAAGTGACGAGAACGACCCCCGCGGTCCCCTGTCACAAGCCATCATAGAGGCGCTCATTTCCCCGGGCATGGAGAAGCCTCCACATCTGAAGGAATACGACGGAGTCGCAGACCCAGTCGACCACATAGACGGGTTCGAGGCTATGCTGCATTACCACAACGTCGGGGGACCCATCAAAGGTTGGTTGTTTCCCACGACCCTCAGAAAGGCAGCAATGAATTATTATAAAGGCCTCGCCCCGGGATCAATCACCTCGTGGCGAAACCTGAAGAATCAGTTCATAAGTTCGTACACTGCGTCTCGGCGACACCTAAAGACCGAGGCAGCACTCGAGGCCATCATCCAGAGACAGGATGAAACCTTGAGAGAATTTATCAATCGCTTCAATCGCGAAGCCATACAAGTCCCCTGCGTGGACCACATGAAAAGGTACTTGCTGGAGAGGGGGCTTCTCCCCGACACAGAATTTAGAAAGGCGGTGGGCATCGAACCACCTCGAACATTCGATGCTCTCCTCGAGAAGGCACAGGCATATATGGATTACGAGGAAAGGGAGGCGGCCAACAGAGCCCGGGACCCCAGAACTCGCGGATCCAGCAGCAACCCGCGCCAGGAAGCTGCTCCTCCTTGACGAATCGGGGAGAAAAGAAAAGAGGACAGACCCCGAGAAGTCTGGGAGCAAAGAGGACCCTCAGGGCATTTTACAGAATACACTCCGCTCACAGCTTCCTGCGAGCGCATTTTGGCGGAGTGTGCCAGCACGAATTTTAAAGACGGCAGCGTCAAGCGCCCTCGACCTGCTCCTGCCAAGCCCGGAGTAGACAAGAGCAAATACTATCAGTACCATAGGAGCCATGGTCATCTGACTGAAGACTGCGTCCACCTGAAGGACGCCATCGAAACCCTCATCAAGGGAGGGAGGATTGCCCAATACCGGCGAAACGATGCTCCTCATCACGACGCCCGGGAGACAAGAGAACCGGAGGAGGACGCCCGACCATATGACGAGTCGGTCCCCGTCCAGACCGCCTTCTCCGTCAACCGACCGGAGGACTTCTACGTCCCCGAACACCTGCAGGAGCCACTCACGACACACAGCAGGTGGGAGTACTTTCCCTCCACCGTGGTCATCAATGGTGGAGGATTCAACGATCTAACCATCAACTCGGCCAAGAGAAAGCTGGATGAACTGGTCGACTCTGCTCCTCCTCAGACGGTGACTTTTGAAAGAGTGAAAGGTAGGTCGGAGCCTATCACCTTTTACCTCGAAGAGCTCCCCGGAGGAGCCCCCAACGCAGTCATTCCTCTGCTGATAAGAGCGAGAATGGCCAACTTTGACGTGCACCGCATCCTCGTCGACGAAGGAAGTTCCGTCGACGTGATGTACAGTCAATTATTCCAGACTCTGCAGTTAGACGACTCGCACCTCTCGTCGTATGTAGGGTCGGACTTACAGGGCTTCAACGACTCGACCTCCAAACCTTAGGGATACGTCGAGCTCATGGTCACCTTCGGCGAGGGCACGGCAACGAGGCAGGTCAAGGTGCGCTTCCTCGTCATCGACTACCCGTCCCTCTACAAATGCATCCTGGGGAGACCAATGCTAGCAGAGCTGACCGCGGTGCCCTCCACCGTCCACTTGAAGATGAAGTTCTACACCAAGAGGGCACGGGTGGCTACCATCCAGGGGGACCTAGCCGCTGCTCGAAGGTGTTTCAACGCCGCATCCAAGGGACGCGACACTGTTGACACTGGGACAAGGCCCGCTAAGAGACCGACAACGACACGACAAGAGCCCGACAAATCAGAGCCCGCCAAAGTAGAAGACCAGAGAGCTCCCCCAAAGGTCGACTCCATAGCTCTAGATACCCGTTTCGATCAGGACGAACTCCCAACGGTGAGCAAATCCCCCTTCGACCAATCCTGGACGGGGACTTCGAGCTCGTCCCCCTCGGCGCAGACCCAAGCAAAGGAGTAAAGATTGGCATCGACCTCCCCGACCTGGCAAGGAAGCAGATCAAAGCCTGCTTGCGCGAGAATGCTGACTTGTTCGCCTGGAGCGCCGCGGAGATGCCCGGACTCGACCCCGAGGTCGCCTGTCACCGTCTCGCCATAGATCCTGCCGCTAAGGTAGTAGTACAACGTAGGCGTAGGCAGTCTCCGGAGAAAACAGAGGCTGCTGAAAAAGCTGTAAAAGACCTCCTAGAGGCGAATTTTATTTCTGAAGCCCGGTATTCAACCTGGCTGTCAAACGTTGTACTAGTTAAAAAGAATAATGGAAAATGGCGGATGTGTGTTGATTATACTGATCTCAATCGGGCATGCCCGAAGGATGCTTTTCCTCTACCGAACATAGATATGTTGGTCGACAACTCGGCCGGTTACAAAATATTGTCGTTCATGGATGCCTATTCGGGCTATAACCAGATCCCAATGGCCATGGGCGACAAACATTGCACTGCCTTCATGACCAGCTCGGGCAATTATTACTACAATGTAATGCCCTTTGGACTAAAGAACGCAGGGGCAACTTACCAACGTATGATGAACAGAGTGTTCCACGAACAAATCAGAGACATGCTCGAGGTTTACATGGACGACATGATCGTCAAGTCCCGAGCAGACACCAATCACGCAGCCCACCTCAAAGCAGTCTTCGCCCAAGCAAGACAATGTAAGATGAGGTTCAATCCCGAGAAATGCACGTTCAGGGTCAAAGCAGGGAAATTCCTCGGGTTTTACCTGACGAAACGAGGGATTGAAGCTAACCCCGACAAATTCCGAGCCTTCTCCGACCTCCCGACACCTACGTCGAAGAAATCAATACAAGT